TCTTCTACTCATGTCCCACCTGCCTATAGTTACCACCCAACATAGTAGTCGTTTCAAATTATTAATCGAGTAAGTGGATCAATCCACTGATTAAATCATAACTCACATAATTAATCATTTTACCTCTGAACATTCCTGCATTAACACAGGAGATCCAACAGGATACCTCATCTCCAAATCAAAACAAGAACTAAGATAAATGATAAGATGTATGGATTCTGACTCCACTGAAGCCGCATCCTATAGTCAGGGTCATCAGATAACCTGACCTTTTATATATTACATAAACTTAAATGTACACATATGCACATAAAACTTAAGTATTTATCAAATGTATTTCTTAAATTTTCATTTTTCATAATTTTATCTTATTTCCTGTCTCTGCAGCTCACTTCTCATTATTCCCTCCTATCCTCTCTCCCACTCTGGCTATACTTAATTACCTGAAGTGTTTTGAATTCATTATCTTCTCTTATGTCTACAAAGTCAAGGTGCTTCCTCAGCCTGGAAAACTTACTCTATTCCTTTGAAGTCTTAATTGGCTGCTGTTTGCTTTGCTTCAAGACTCTTCTCAGTCATTATCAGCTCTCCAAAACCTTCCTTGAATGGCCAACCTGAATTTTGTGCCTTCAATTTGTGCCTCCACATCTCCATTTCTTTCCTATCTATGTGCAGATTCAGCATTCAGAATCAATTCACCACAGTCCTTTTATTCAGCATGAATGGTATGAAAATTTATAAATGAGATTTTTTTCTTCTTTCCAGAGTGAGGTAAGTCATGTTGGTACTTGAGCAATGCCAGGTGCAATCATTCAGCTGAACAGAGTGCCACCCACAGGTTTGTATAAACAATCATCCCTTGGAATTTCCCATGGAAAAGGACTTAAGTATCAGCCTAGCAGAATCATATGCGCAGAGTTTGACAGCAGGAGTGGGGATCCCCATCTGATTCTGGAATATCTCTCCTTGACTGCAGAAAAACCGCTGAAACACTGTTAGAAATTCAGGTAACTCAACTGGAACTCTTTCTGCAGGGTCAAGAGTGAACTGACTCAGGATGACAGGCTCAAGTTAATGAGGGGACTTACTAGGGTTTAGGTTCATGGTTTTCTCTTAATGGATAGTCTACTTATTCTATCCTTTCCTCTTCTTGCACCTTCTGAGAGGACTTCTGTCTCTAATTTCTATGGACTTGACTGACCTATATTTGAAGACTAGTGAGATCTGGGAGTGCAGAAGGATGTAATGCATTGGGCAGTCTTCATCATTGTAGGAGAAAAATATTTTTCAATCTTTCTTTATGGATCAGTTGAATGTAGTTTTGTGTCTCAGCAAATATTGGGCTCAATTTCTGGAGATGGCCTGAGAACAAGAAAAGAAAATAGTGTTTCTGTGCATGTTATTCCTCTATCACCTGTTTTTTCACAAAGGGAACTAATTCTTTGCAACCAGAGTACTTCTCCTTTAGTGTAGCTAGTTGTGATTAATAAAAATAGAATGAGAAAGAGAAAAATCTCATAGTGAAATGTTTATGATGAGCTTTTTTAAAAATATGGTATCTGAATTCTTTCATTTTCTGAAATAAGCACTGAAAAACAAATACTGCATGTTCTCAATCATATATGGATGTTAGAAAGTTGATTGTATACAAGTAGAGAGTAGATTAGTTGTCAGTAGATTCTAGGTAAGGAAGGGGAAGCAGAAAGAGAGGAAAGTCAGATAGTAGGTACAAAAATACACTTAGGAGGAGTAAGTTCTAGTGTTCCACAGTACCATAGGTTCACTATATTTTACAACAATTCATTATGTATCTTTCTAAAAAAAAAACTGGAAAAGAGGAGTTTAAAGGTTCCCAGCATAAAGAAATGCTAAACGTTTAATGAGAAGGAAATGTTATCTACGATGATTTGAATATTACACATTGAATTATCACATTGTATTCCATAAATATGTACCATTATTAGATGTAAATTCAAAATTTTCTCAAGAAAACTTAACTATTTTTTACTTTCAAAATATTACATGAAAGACTTAGTAAAAATATTTTAAATCATCTACTCTCAATAGTAAAGAATGACATCAGAAACACTTTGATTCTGCTTAAAATAAATGCAATACAAAAAAAAGGGATGGGTTGGGCATTGTTTCTGTGTCTTACTGAGTTAAAGACATTTATCTCTTCTTTTATGGTCTGATTAACTTTTCTGGCCTGTTGAAGGTGATTTGTAACTTTTATAGTATTTAACTGACATATTTGCTTTCTGTTTGAACATTTGAAAATTTCTTTGATAAAATATGTTATACACATGCTGTATGATTTTAAAAATGTTAAGTGTACTTTTCTGTAGCGTTAAGTGTAGTCTTGTTGTTGTGCAACAATCATCACCATCCCTCCCTAGAAATCTTTCACCTTCCCAAATTAAAACTCTCTATTAAACACTAACTCCCATTGTTCAAATATTTTTTAGAACTCATCTGTATGGTAAGAAACATGTACCTAATTAGGATTATTATTTGAGTGAGATTGGAATTTGGGGGTTCATTATAGCAATGTTCCAAAGGACAGTGTTTTCTATATTAAGATCAATGCTTGGGGCTGAGGTTGTGGCTCAGTGGTAGAGCAATTGCCTAGCATGTGTGAGGTACTGGGTTTGATTCTCAGCACCACATATAAATAAATAAAATAAAGGTCAAATATATATTTGGCTTTCTTTTTAAATTGTTTTTTAAAAATTATCTTTGGAGAACTGCAGAGTAGATGTAGATAGACAAAGTAAGATGAGCATCTCAGTAACCTTTACCTCTTAGCAAGAGTTTTGTCCTCAGTCTAGTCTTGCCTTTCAACTGTGGAATAAGTTTGTATAATTACCATGGGGAAACTTCAATCCTATAAGGTGCCATATCCTGTAATTAATATTAATAGATAATATTAATTTGGTCACACTTCCTGCCTGAAACATAGTCTGTCATCAGCAGTGTCACTCATGCAAAGTAACTTGGAAGAAAAACAGGCAAAAATTTATGATTAAAAAATACAGAATATAGTTATTATTATTTTTTGTGGTGCTGGGAAAACGTAGTTATTACTAACTCAACTGGTTTCCAGGAACTTGAATTCTGCTATAGAGAGAAGTCACAATCAGTTATCCACTAGTTTAAACAAACCCCACATGTTCTAGGGCTAGTGTTACACCTCAGCCTTCCTCAGGTTCTATCAAATCAGTTATATCTAGGTCATGGGCACATGGTAAGACTGGTGAATCTCATGCCCCTGAGCACATTGGTGCACTTTCTTTGCTGTAAAATGAATTTCCTGGTCAGAGACAATGTTGCATGTGTTTTACAAAAAAGGGAATGAAAGGCATTTTTATGTGTATGAATATCTTGCATGATGAAGTACTACCAGCCAGAAACTCACATCCAATGATAGAGTCAGTATCCACCCCTAGAGTATAAATTTATGTTTCCTTTATGATGGATGCCACCAGCTAGCCATGAGTCTCCTGAAATAATAAGCTGAACATTCAGGGGTGATAGCTAAATAATCCTAAAAGCAAGGATATCCATATTGTTAATCCTGTGCATGGCCCTGTTCCTCTGACCCAAATCCCCTTGCCCCATGTCTCAGCATTTTAGGCTGCCTTAGAGTGTCTTTAAATTAGCTTAAGAGTCTTTATAAATGTAGCATTTAATTATTGCTCCAATTCTGAAACCCTTAAAATTAGATCTTGGATTCAATTCTCATTTCCATCTCTTATAATTAGGGGAAAAAATGAGCTTTTCCAGAGTTAGGATGGAGACCCCCTGGTTCTCAGCTGTGGATTCATTGCTTTTAATTTTTCCTTTTCTTCAGGTCAGTCTTCTTGTAGTCTTTTTAGTTACTTTTTGATCATACCAACCACACTATTTCCTTTCCTTCCTTGTGCCTTCTTCACCACCTGCACTTGATCCTATACCACCCATATTCATACTTTGAATAGGTTTGGTGCTGTGGCATGCTATAGATTTCTTTTTCCATTCCTTTTAGTAGGGTCAGCTGTGCCTTCCCCCAGTGCATGAGAAACCCAATTTCAGAAGCACATGTTGGGAATCTCTTTCTGAGAACTACACTCAATTCCTGTTACCAAATTCCTGTTACCAGCCAGGGTTTCAGCAAGAAATGAAAGACATGCTCAAATTTGAGGAATATTAATTAAAAAGCTTATTTATAAATGTGCAAATAAGATGTAGAGCAATTTGGAAGAGCAAAGAAGGACCCTGGAGCTAAGATAAAGAGATTGTGATCACCCATACACCTGAGGAAATAAAGGCAGGAAGCAGGAACCAAAACTTATGGGCAAAGACGGCTACAGGGTATGTTTTTAGTTTGTTTTATGTTTGGTTTTGTTTGTTTGCTTGCTTAATGATTGGACAAATAGCTCACACAGCAATCCAGCAGAAAAGTCTGAGAGAGCAAATATTCCAAAGTCATCCTCTTTCATTCGTGTAATCTGCTTATTATTTCACCAGTAGCCACTGAAAAGAGAGCCAATTGCTATAATCCTTAGTTTCATTTTGTGAGAAACAGAGAAAGGTGGAGAAAATGGAGATTGTATCTGGGGAAGCAAACAGGAGACAGCCAGCACATCTAATATATGCTGGACACATTACAGGATTCTGCAACATATTTTGAAGAGAAGCTATAATTCCTACATTAAAAATCCTAAAAATCTTTAGCCAAGTCATGTACCTTAATAATTGTAGCAGAGAATAATGTGTGTTTCATAATTCACTAGGATAAATAAAAACAATTGCATAGAAATCTAAAAGTTGACCTGTTCAAAATTTAATTGCTTTTCTTCCCAAGGGTCTTATCATGATTAGTGACATAATTTAGCCACATCCAAGAAGCTCAGAAGTCATGTGAAAATTCTTCTCTGCTCTTCTCTCAATTCAGAGGCTGATTTAATCCAGGAGTTTGTACAGTTATTCTCTCTTTTAAGTGGTGTCTTTTCATTTCTTCCCCAATAATACCTGTTTGGGTTGAAATACTCATTCTTTTTGCCACATGGTGTTACTGGCTCCATTTGTTCCTCAGCCTTCAGAATTGCACTTCAAATATGTAAATCTATATAAACTGTGCCATCACTACAAATTCTTTATCAATAACTAAAAATAACATTTTTGAGAATTTTCATGCTCCACTTTTTAAAAACTTAAACACTTATATTTAATTAATTTAATTGGTATGTGAAATATATACTGTTATGTATTTTTCTGGATTGTAAACAGAGGTACAGAAATTACACAAATACCTCAAGGTAACCGTTAAGTAGTAAAGCCAGGGTGTGAGTCTGATTCCAAGGCTCTCACTTTTCATCTCTCTTAAATATTTCAACAATATTAAAAGTGATAAGAAAATTAATACTTATAGTCCTTGAGTTCGTTACAGTACTTACACATTATAGTAGAGTAGTGTCAGGTATTATTCTGGTTACTTTAGATATTATTACTCCATTAATTCCAACAATAAATACAATGAGAAAGAAATTATCATCCCCTGTATACAGCTGAAAAATGGAAACATAAAGTTTTAGTAATTTTCCTAAACTCATACAGTTAAATGACAAGGGCAGAATTTCGACTTAGTTGGTCCCTTTCTAAGACCCTGCTTTTAACCCCTATGCATATGACTGCTTAGACTGTTACAATTCCCTTGCATAGAGGATAAGACTTACTTTCATTAACCTGGCATGTGGAGCCTTCCCGTAATTTGCTCTCTGCCTCACTCATCATTCTTACCAGGTTTTGCTCAAGTCCTCTTGCTCAGCAAGGCTTCCTCATATTGAATCTGATGTAGGTCCTCCTTGCCTCATGCTTCGTGAGAAAGCCCCTCTCTCTTCACAAGGTTGCACCTCCTCACTAGTAAAGCCTCTGTGGACCTTCTCTCTGTTATTATATTTATGTGCTGCAGAGAGAAGTGCTCTCCCAGGTTGCTAGAACTGCCCGTGTACACAGGGTGGGCACATCATTGTTGCCATCAGCTATTTTTTCCTCTTGTCTGTAACATTAGCACCTAGGAAGCTGGGTTTTGTTGTTTTGTTTTGTTTTGTTTTGTTTTATTTTGTTTTGTTTTGAGGTACCCATTGATAACTATCACATTTATCTGCTGAGTCAAAAATCAAACTATCATATGAATGAAAAGCCTTCACATTTGATTGAGGAAGCCAATTTCATTTTCCCCTTTGCTTTTTATTGACCACACGAGTCCACACATCTATCTCTAATTACAAGTCCTCCATGAAGATAAAATTTGGAAAGCCATATCCCTTTTGAAAGGGCCACTTGGATCTCCCCTAATAATAAGCCTAAATGTCTGTCTGTCTGTAAAGTTTTCTGTTTAAGTAAATGTAATTATATGTGACAGATGTTTGCAATACAGAGACTTAGGAGATAAGGTTCTGTTCTCTAGGTCTGTCACTTTGAAAAAGCAGGTCATTCAATGAAGTCTACAAAACCAGAAGACAAATGACATCTAGCTTGAGAAGAACTCGCCCTTGAGTGGGAAAGACAGGTCAGTCTGGGCCTACTCATTATATTGCATATTCTTAAGGGTTGGGTTGCCAGAGTTAGCAAATCAAAATTTGAGGATACTAAATACTACAAAGGAAATGCTTATACTAAAACTTGCTTATTGTTTATCTGAAATTAAAATCTAACTGGATGCCCTACAATTTTACCTGGCAAGTTTACCTGAGAGTTAATTACTATGAAAAGATGTGGAGGTGTTTGAATTCTGCAACTTCTTTCTCCTGTTATCACTGTTTATGAACTTGCCTCATTCCTTATCACAGGTGCAATGGAAACTACAAGGGTACTTTTCTTCAGACTCTTTCTTGTCTTGTATCTCCTTCAGATGGTTACACCAAGTTCAGGTATGATCTCTCACTTGTCCTTACAACTATAAGAAAAATGAAGTTTGCCAGGAAAAGCAAGGAAGAACTCAAAAAATAAGTTTTTATTTATTTTTTGACAATTGCTTCTAAGGTTTAATATGTAGTAATGATATGAAGATGAGCACCATAGGATACAGCTTATATTTAGGAAGAATTAATCGTTCCTAATGAGCAAGTTTTCTTTTTTTATTTTATTTTATTTATTTATTTATTTATTTATTTATTTATATTAGTTGTTCAAAACATTACATATGAGCAAGTTTTCTTTACTCAGATTTGTACTAGGTTCCAGGAAGGAAAAACAAATAAAGATAAAATAAAACTTGCCCTTGAGAACCTTTCATGTTGAGGAGACATGATTTATGTATTACTTTTGCAGAGAGGAAGTGGTGCAAAGAGTGGATCCATCTTGGAATCCTTGTGTGTTTTCAGAACAGTGTAGAATAAAATAAGTAAAGATGAAACAGACTAGAGGGATCTTGATAGAAGATGGGAATCTGCATTTGTCCAGGAATCTAGAAAAGGCAGAAATAAATATAGGTATTTAGAGATCCATAAAATTCTAAGACAACAAATGACATAAACGTATAGAAATTTCTAGTAAAAGCTGCGTGTTAGATGAAAAACATCTTACTGATACAACATTAGGTGGGATTCAGTCTTTTGTTAATTAAAATAAAATAATTCCACAAGTATCATTGTACCTGTTTTGAGCATAACTGTGAGTGTGAACATACAAAGTATTTCCAGTAAAACTGCTGACCACAGTTTATGCACTATTTTATTATTAAAATGTTATTCTGAAGTAGTTGTCAATAACTTCTGCCAAATAGCATGAGTTTGTCAGGTAGATGTTACAGGTATCAAAGTTTTTTATCTTTTCCAAACTTATTGTTGAAAAATAGGATTTTACACTGATCACTTTCTAGTTTCTTATTAATGAGTATGGTTGAGTATCTTTCCAAAAATTTTGTATTTTCTTTTTCTCTGAACTTCCTGTTATTTTCTAA